GCTAGATGCCTCACGGTCAGTCTGGTCGTAGGTTTCTTGTTGGCGTACTGCGTTTGATAGTTGTGACCGTATCGTTTCTTGTAAGAACTGTGACCGTACGGTGCTGATGGCCGTACCCAGTTGAAATTTTGAGCCGAGACCGGCGCCGGGTTTAGCCGGGCTGGTCGCGCTTTAGCAGGATGGAGCCGTGAAACAATAACCGGCCATCTATCCCTAAAACCGCGCTGCGCCATGGCTGATACAGAGACAAAATTCTAGCAGCGCGGCAGAGACGGAACTCTGCGCTGTTTTAGCGCTGGTACTTGGCATTGCCCGGCAGGGAGCNCTTACTAGTAAAATTCTTATTGACCGTATTATAGAAATTAATCTCAAAAGATATTCTTGGAAATATTGAAAGTATGAATGAAATTTTTAATAAAATTATAATTGACATTAATATTCAATGCATCTTTGATATTATTATATAACTTATAATTAACAATATTATTAATAATATTATTGAAATAATTGCAATAATAACTTTAACACAAGTAACAATGGTAATTTTAGAAATTTCACTGATAATTTAAACGCTATATACTATACAATAACAAAGTTAACTTTTATATCAATAGTACTTTTAATAATAAATTCAATAATACATATAATCATAATTTATATACCATTTCTAGTACTATTTTTTATAATAATTCTGATAATTTTAATAATATATTTATGAATAATGTTAATAGTACTTGGAATAAAAAATTCAATAATACTTTTAATAATACTTTGAATAACACTTGACCAATAATACAAGTTTTAGGCATTCTGGCAGGATAAGCTCATATGGCTTCAATTTTTGCAACGTCAGCAACTCTCGCGAGCTGAACTCTTTGCCCTGGCGTGCTTCTAGTACTGAACCTACTCTGACAGTTAAAACAGGTAATATTGTTTTAGTTCATTCTACTGATACAGATTATATCTGCGGTTAGAAAATAGATGCACATTTTTAGGTATCGATTCGTTTCATTCCCAGTTAATACAGGCAGTGGGCACATAGGCTATACAAGACAGCAGGCACGCATACAAGTAAATGGAAAAAAAATCGATAAAAGTGTTTTATGTTTTCTGGACGTTTCAGAACATTCTCTATCGATTAGTTCGATCGAAAAATGAACTTTTCTGTGACCCTCATATGTTGGTGCGACGAAATTTTTCTAAGTAAATATCAAAATTTCATATGTAAAGTAAAAAGTTTTCTCGACGTTTCAGATGATTTTTTTCAGCCTTTTATTTTTTCGAACCTGGTCCGCCGGACCGGTCCGGGTCCGGGTTTTTGTCATTTAGTCAGTACCTTCGGACAGATAATGCCAGTGTTTTTTTTTTCACTTAGAAGTTCAAACCAAACTTCTTGAGTAAATTTTCTGCGCGTTAGATTTTTATTTTAACCTTGACATGAAAGAGCATCTAGGCATGCAATATATTGCGGTGTTTCTATGCATGATACTCATGCATTTTAACCAATTACGTACATCTGAAAATTTGTATGCAAAATATTACGATGTTTGTGTGCTTGAAGTTGAAATTCACACACTTCAACATCAACTTACTACGCACAACCGAAAGCTTGCTTGCAATATATTATGATTCCTGTATTCATGATACTCATGTACTTCAACACTACATACATCTGAAAGCTGGCATGCAATATATTACCATGCCTGTATGGCTGTATTCATCATTCATGATACTCTAGCACTTTAACAATATGGACACCTGAAAGCTTGCAGCTGAATGATTACTTGATAAGTGGTTCTTACTTAAATAAATGAACTGTGTAAGTCCAAAATTCAATTATCATGGATGTTGAGGTTAATTTCATGTCACTAAGACACTTCTGAATAAAAATGGTAAAACCTAATTGCCCTATAATTAGTAAACAAGATTATTATGCGCAAAAAATGTACTACATAGAAGCGAGAAAAAGGTTTGATTGCAATTTTTCATTTGAATCATATTTCATTGGAATCATTGGAGTTCTTGTTCATGATTTAATTATGATATGCTACCTAGTAGAAAGAATGCTCATCCACGTGCAACGTGCCTTGGGAAGAAACCCCTATCATAAAATTAATAGGTACTGTCAACCACACAGTCACACAGACAACCAGGGCTACTCAGAGTCAGGACGGGCGGGGTAACTCGGGACAGTCCTCTGACGTGGCGTAAAACTGTTTTAGTAGCTCAATTAAAATGGTGTAAAATAACAAGCCATCCTGTAAGCTTACAGATACAGAAAAAATGCTATAAGGCTGCTGATATGAAGCTTGCAGTGGACAAGGTAGTTGAAATGCTCAATGGCCTGTTCATGGATACGGTAATATTGCATCAATAATACGGTACGTACACTTAATGTAGATGGTAATATCATATCAATGAAGGAAAAACAAGTAAAAATCGCAGAAAATCTCATTTATTCTACCTCTACAGCATGACAGCATCTACAATGAAAGAGGAGGACTTCAGAGTATTGTTAGTAATGGATGAGTACACTCTGCAGGCTTCAAACCTTTTAAAATTAAGTTTTATTCCAAGTGTCCCAAGTAGCCCTGTTCGACGGGGCTACTCGCGACACTCTTTTTTTGCTTCTGGCATCTTACAAATATCATATGGAATTTTTTTGGAGAAGCCATGTGATAGCCCTTGCAAAGAACTTTGAAATGAGCCAAAACTTGTTTATGAAATATTTCATGGTAAGAAGTTATGAATGAAAAACGTTCAAAATCGTCCCGAGTAGCCCCGGTTGACGGTTCCACAAATAAAGTGGGCATATTCTATTTTTCATTTACTGCATCTGAATCTTGATACTCTTTTAAAATTTCCCATTCTAGATGATAACATGATGTCAGCATATACACTGCAAATAAAAAAAATAGCAAGTCACATCACTTCATTGAATGGAATAGAATTGAAGTGTTGGCACTGAAGAAATAGGCCCATGGCCTATTGCCAATTCTTGTAATTTTCATGATTTGATTCAGAAGGTTGATTTTTATGTTTAGATCATATTATTTGTTGAAATTCACTCTGTGATGAATGCTCCAGGAATGAGGTACGCTTTAATTTGCAGTATGCTCGTGAACAACAGAGGTGCACTTCCTTATTAATTTGTTCACTCTGTAACTGGTATTCATTGGATATTCCTGAGAGAATATGAAATTTGCAAATCACATTTGTGAAGGGCTTGCATTTGTTTAGTAATTCTGGAGATGGAGTATTCAAAACTGAGTAAACAGTACTGCGAAGAGTAAGGTGTGACCTCTGTATTTTAGGGAAGGCTTGCATTTGTTAATGCACAATATCAATTTTTATGGATCTGAGGTGAAGCGGTGAGTTCATTAGTAAAGAAACCTAAGAAGGCACTGCTGGTTTGAAAAAATTAAATTATTAATGCACATTATCCATGAGGTTTATGGCATATAAAGAATATAATGTACAATAGACTTAAGGTTATCTCATTATTAATGACTAGTGTTTTCATTGTTAAGTTATTGAACTACAGTATTGAAGAAAACTATCAACTAACTACTGCATAAATCCTATTGACTATCGACTGGCATGCTGTTGTTTGACAACCAGATGACCTTGAGATAAATTTTACAACAACTTTTATGCCACACTATGAGACCTGGGTGGAAGGCCCTACAAGAGTAGGATTTGTTGAGGTTCTGGCACTTAATAATTCTTGAAGAAATGGCAGTTTTTGGGTACTGGAGCACTCTAATGCACTTGTCCTGGTTGTCTTGCTTCTATTGGAGCAAGCGCTTGCATATTTTTGGCCACTGTGCTCCTCAATTACATAGGTGCTTGGTCATTTAGAAGGCATTTAGAATGCTGAACCAAGTGGACCAGTTAGTTCTAGAAGCAGTTTCAAATGAGAATTGTAGCCAAATTATATTTTATTTAACAAGTATATACATGATAAAAGAGCTATTTTAAAATTTTCAATGTTAATTGCATTGAAATCTACATAACAAAAAACATAAATTGGAAACATAAATTTTAAACCAGCAGGTGGTTTAAAATGTCACACCAGCAGGTGGGGCTTTCTCTATAAAACACATCAGAAATCTCATGAAATCTCCTGGCCCTCAGTCCTTGTTGCAACTAGCAAATTGCAAGTCTTAATCACTAAAACAAAAAAACTAGTTAACCAAGGCCACTCACATGGGCTGACCTCACACAAGTTACAAACAGCAAACGCACAGTCGGGCAATAAAATCAATTCCTAATTACCATCTAAAACTGATTGTTTTTACTAGAACGTCACAATAAAAACATTTGCACTGGCACAATAATTTCGGACAATGTAAAAATCAGTTACTTTGAGAAATCCTGCTCGAAGGTGCACTGGGGAACCATATAAATGGAAAGCACTCCTAAGGCTGGCTAAAGTGTCCAAGCAGTGGGCCAGCAAGTCACTGCTCTGTGTGCTCCACTAAGGTTGAGGCAGGTTACTCAAATGAATCACTGTTTTCTCAGTGCTCGTTAACAGCCCACCACAAGGAGCAATCGAATATTGCTTGCTGCGCCTGAGTCTTGGTGAAGGGTGCCCTTGGGTCCAGTTTAACTCCCAGGTTTTTCTAGACTTAACTCTTGATGCCCTATAAGTGAACAAAACGTGGGAATTGGCTTCAGTGCATGACAGGAGAGCAAGTAACAGATATAAAACTATGTAACATAATAAAATATAACACAATAAATGCATTGGCACACATGACATGATTATAAAAATGTAACACAAATGAATGAATATATAAAAGAGTAGGAGCATTAAAACCAGGTTCAGGCAAATGCCACTACTCACTCGTAAAGGGGCAAAAGCGGGCAGGCAATCAGCAAGCAGCAGGATCAGGCAAGGCACATAGCAGCATCAAATTTGGTAAACTTGCATCATTTCCATCAACCACGGCACAGGGATAAGCTTAAGGCTGGCACAAATACATGCACTGACTCAAATGATCTGTCTGAGAGTGATTCACATTCATGAGTCTGGAAAGAGAGGACACAGGTGAGTGGAAAGAATGCATGGTGCAGCAACATGAATAATGATACATAAGCCCCACCACTACACTGCTTTTTGTTTATTTACTAGGCACTAGGTGGTTATGTCTCAGGAGAGATGGTGCTAGTGTGCTGTGGACTGGTCTGTAAACACTGTGCACCGATCTGACGTCACATGCCATTAGGCATAAAGCAATTATTTTTAGAAGTGTTTTGTGGGCCTTCAAGACTTGAAAAATGCTTAAATTTTTAGGAAATTTTATAAAATTAAATAATTAATACTTCTAATTTTTAAATATCAGCAAATAAAATTATGGAGTTGTAATTTCATTCTATAATAATTTTCTAATTGTGTTCTGTGTTATAAATTTTATATCTAGGGAGCTGGGGAAGCATTAGCATTTTCAATTGATTCAAAATCTCAATATACCATGTTTGTTTATACTAAATATAAAATTTCAGCCTGCGGCAGACAGGGACAAAAGTGACAGTATCATAGAGTTGACCCCTGCTGTTTCTGTTTGTAAGCATAGGGACTGTAACTCAGGTACTTCAAGACTTCAAGTGAGATTCTCCATGGCAGTAGAGCAAAACTTGGAGTTGTGAATAAGAAATATATACTAAATATTATTATCTCTTATATATTATTATCATATTATACTACATAGCATTATCATCTTATACCATATATTATTATCATCTTATACTCCTCCCTACACTCCTCCATCACCTCTGCCCAACACTCCCCCATCACCTCTTCCCAACACTCCCCCATCACCTCCTCCCAACATTCCCCCATCACCTCCTCCCAGCACTCACGCGTCACCTCCAAACACTCCCCCATCACCTCCTCCCAACACTCCTCCATCACCTCTGCCCAACACTCCACCATCACCCTCCCACTCCGCCATCAACATCCCAGCACATGAAGGTATGGCAATCTCAATGAAAATCTATTATCAAATTAAAATAAATAATGCATATAGTATATACACTTGTGCCCGAAATTATTCATGCCCTAATGTCATTTCAACACATTTCGAGAAATTTAAAAGCAAAGAAAACTCCACAAAAATTCATCATATCTCTATTTAAAATTTTTTAGAGTCCAGCTCCATTTCCAGTTTGATGAATCTAGAACAAAAATACAATCTGAAATGAAAATGAAGTTTGGATTCAAACATAAAAATACAGAAGTTAAAAACCTAAATTTACAGGCAAAGGGCAGAGTAAGAAAGGAAATACCTATCTATTCACAATTTCTAGCAGATAAGAAATAAAGGCTGCATTGAAACTAGGATTTTCTTTGAAAATATACAAGGATTAAAAAAATACGCAGAACGGATACACCAGAAATTGAAGCTATAACCTCAAAGTCAGTGTTGGACACTGGAACATTGCACTGTTTGGCATGAGTGCACACAGCCAAATGAGGAGGGTGTGATAGTAACTGCCCAGTCCTATAACTCCTCCCTCTTTGCGCAGCAACCCTAGAATAAAGATTGTGTGATGGCATTCCAGCGTACGCAGGTGCGCATTGTGCACAACTAAATTTATAAATTAGGGACAATTACATGTGAGAAGGGAGGAAATCTTTGTTCCTAAAAATGAATCTATTTTAAAATTATTCTCTAGTAAGATAAGATGAGTAATGTCCAGAAAGTATTTCATAAGCAAATCTTTCAATTCTTTTGACATACTGTAACTTCAGATGCATGGCCAAAGTATGGAAGAGAACAGTAAACAACATGTCTATTATCAGGCTCTGTAACAACTTCACTGTATTGCTTAGAAATGAATTTCTTAATTAAGAAATGAACACCAAGCCAGAAGGAAATCCATTGAGCAAGAAGATATTGCGCATAAATTCAAATTCAGAATGCATGGCATGGAAAGTCAAGCAACTACAAAAGCCGTAATGTAATTGTGTTAGAAGCCCATTTAACTTGAATCTAAAAGAACAAAAGCTAAGAAAGCTGTTGCTTAGTCATGTGAAAATTGATTTTCTGAAAACGGCCATTAGAATTAGTAATATTGCAGTCGAGGAAGGACAAACTATTGTTCGATTCAAGTTCCATGGTAATTTTTAATAGAATTATGTTGCAAGTATAGGTAATCGGAGAAAAGTTTCACATGCGAGGAATGCTTGAAAATAAGAAAGGTGTCATTGACATATCTGTTATAAAAAAATGGCTTAAAACCAGGAGGACAATTGTTCAGCCATTAAACCTTGTGAAAACAAAAATATTCGCAAAGGATGGGTTGAGGGAAAGATCCATGCCCAAATCTGTCTATAGTCATGCCTAAGTCAATCTGTCTATAATTTACCAGCAAATATGAAAATCGAATTTAGAACTGATAATTCCAGCAGGGATTTAAAAAAATTCGGTTCAAACCAATAACAGTATCATGAATATCTTTAAACAAAGTATTTAGACAGATCTCTATAGTTTTAAAAAGCGGTGTATTTGTAAATACATTTTTCACGTCAAAAGAGGCCATTGTTAAGTCCTGAACATCTGTAAAATCTTTCAAGCGGTCAACAATAGTATAAGAATTGTCTACTGTATACTGGTTAGTTGTTAAACAGGAAATAAAAACTTGGCCAATTTAACATGTTGACTACGAAGTGGTACATATGCATACCACAAAATGGTTTCTCCAGGACGTAGTGGTACATAATTAAGGTTGCCTAAAATTGTCCAAAAAGAGGCCGATAACTCAATATATACTAGTTTATTTGTAGCTTCTGCTATAAAAATTCCATTTATTTTCTTTTTGCACTATTTAAAATTTAATTAGGAAGTACCCCTATCATAAATTTTAGCCAGCCAACGCAATTGAGAAAACTAAATCACTGAATTTGTCAAGAAAAAATGACTCCGGAAAAAGTGTTTAAAAATGGTTATTAAAAATAAAATAATAGTACAAGATGAAGCAATCGTAGTCAATGTGTTAAAACTAGGGGTATTAAACACGTCAAAAATTGGTCAGAATTGAAACTTTGAAGCAAAATCAGACTTATGAATTTTAGGTAAGCCATATAAAATCCCAGGGCACGAACCAGAGGCATAAAGTTTAGAGTAGGTTTCAGAAGAAAAAGCAGATGAATCCTTAAGTTTTTGCAGAAAACTATTGATTTTATCTTTAATTTTCAAAATAGTTTTAGAGATAGGATCAGTAATTTTGACAAATTTAGAAGGATCAGTGATGAGTGCAGTAAGGCTACTGTTATATCGACTACAATTACTAATTCCATCTCTAATAATCATTTTTATTATTATAAAGAAGATATATGAAAGATATAATAGAAATTATTTGAAAGTAATTTGTCAGAATGGTTTGAGTTTCAGCAATTTAAAAAAACTCATTTTGCAGTTACAGCAATGATTGATTATTGAATAATAAATTGATCATTTCTGTATTAGTTTTCCTACTGATAACTAGCCTCTTTATCTCTACTGACAGTGTTGTCTCTCCAATGTATTTCATATTTTTAAAATTATATCAACTTTGTTCATTTAAAAATTCACTTGTAGCCTAGAAAATTTAAACCCTTAACAGTAAGTTAGTATTTTAATTGGTTGTTAAGCTGATAACTGAGTTGGTCATCAAGTTTGCATTTAGAATAAGTTGAGATACTGATCCCAAATCTCAAATACTTGTAGACATGTTGTTGTGTGGCTTGTTTGTGTCTAAAAACAAGCAATACTTGTCTACAATACTTGTTCCTGTAGCGGCTGTGCTATAATGGTGTAGCGACTGTGTTATAACATTGGTGTAGCGGCTGTGCTATAACATTGGTGTAGCGGCTGTGCTATAACATTGGTGTAGCGGCTGTGCTATAACATTGGTGTAGCGGCTGTGCTATGATGTTGATGTAGCGGCTGTGCTATAACGTTGGTGTAGCGACTATGCTATAACATTGGTGTAGCGGCTTTTGCAACATAAAAAATAACACCTAAAAAAAGACAAAAAAGCTGAAAAAATCAAAAAAATCAAATAAATAAAAAAAATCATGAAAAAATAAAAAAATCATTGATTTTTGATTATTTTGATTTTTTTAAAAAAATAAAAAAATCGCCAACCCTGATTCTAAATAATTTTACATTAACTTGGAAGTGGGGGAGCGTTACTTCCCCAAGTGGGATCAAGGTTACCACCACTCTCCAGTAGTAAGAGTGACAGCCCATAACAACGTTGGTGTAGCAGCTATGCTATAACATTGCTGTAGCGGCTATGCTATAACGTTGGTGTAGCAGCTGTGCTATAACATTGCTGTAGCGGCTATGCTATAACGTTGCTGTAGCGGCAGTGCTATAACGTTGCTGTAGCGGCTATGCTATAACATTGCTGTAGCGGCTATGCTATAACGTTGCTGTAGCGGCAGTGCTATAATGTTGGTGTAGCGGCTATGCTATAACGTTGTTGCGGTCCAGTGAACAGGGGTTCACAAAAGCTATGTGAAGATTAGCTCAATCACCCTAAGATACAATACCTAGCTAAGCCTACCTCCAACCCTAAGAACAAATTTGGGACAATAAAACACAGGTCATTCCCAAACAACACTATACTTAAGCTAAGAACAAAGCCAAGAGCCATTGGCACAGGATAAACCCTAGGGCACCAAATATCCTTCACAGGATAAGCTAGGCAACCACCCTCCGGAGGAAAATCCCGGAGAGGTGACTGCAGTATTCCGTTCAAAGAGCCGAATTTTACAATATGGTCCAACTTTGTGGTAAACAATAATTTTTAACATAACATCCTCACCTGTGACGTAAGGGAATCAAAATTTCCGTAAGATAAACAATAGCCTAGAAGTCTTGGTTGGCATGGAGACAAATAAAGGTCCTGGAAAGGAGAGCACAGTAAGAAATGGGGGTGATTCCTCAACAGTAAACTAGCACAGTAAGAGCACTCTTTAACTGGTCCACGGATCACCCTGATGTATTGCACTAAGGCAGTGTAGATGCATCACTCTCATAGACACCACAGGCACACCCAAGCACTCCCCCTCACAACAACACCCCAGGTACTCACTGGTCTGGTAGAAAGGTTCCACAGGTTACTGACCACAGGTGATACTGTACTGGGTAGCAAGAACCAGGAACCTCAAGAGAGGCAAGGACTGTTAGGACACTCAATATGTCTCCAAGTGAGTTAAAGAAACCTAGACATTAGCAATAGAACAAGGAACAAGGGTTACATTGGCTAAATAATAATAATGATTAAGGCACTTATTCAACTTGGTCACAAAACTAACCTATCAATAAGGTTTGTTAACTACCTGCAAGAAAGTCTCTGGCTAAACAAGCATATTAAAACAGAGCCATGGTTGAATATGATCTCTGACTAATGAAATACAGAAAACAAGCGCCAATATCAATGTCTAATCCTAGTCCGCAATACTGGAATTGAAGGTGACGGGTGCTAATAATGGGCACACATATGAATGAGTCATCTACTAACACTATCTGCCAATAATTAAATCAATACAATCACATCACTCATGGTCGCACAACTGGTTAACTAAATCACTGGTGGTCTTAAAGTCTAAGCCCCATTGTACTTAAAAGAGTCGACATCAGGGGCTGATATTCCTATTAACTTGCAAATATTGGTTTAAAACCAGTGTATCCAAATGAAATGGCTAAAGACTTGCTCATGAACATGACTAATATGCAGTTAGCTCAGTTAGTTAAGTAATGATAACAAAGCCTAGGTTGACATTTAAACAATGAGTAATAATATCACTCGTTTGCTTGAATCGCAAATTCACTAAAATTTAATAGCAAAGAAAACACCACAAAAATTCATAGTATCTTTAAAGAAAACGTTTCGGAGTCCAGCTCCATCGTCAGTTCGAAAACTCTAGAACACAGATAAATCAGTGATTAGTACAGTCAAGAATACAAAGAAAATCCTAAGCTGCAAAACCTACCTATTTACAATTTCAAGCGGGTAATCCACTAACAAGAATGGAAATGGACATCACACCAGCACCAGATTCCTTCCTGAACACATTCAACGCATCACAGCCTGAGATCGACGTTGAAAATAATGAACGTTCTTCCAGTCAGTTGGAATTTTCACCAATAAAAAGCACCAGTACCCCCTATCGAAATAAAAGGGATCGAAAAGGCGAGCCGGTCAAGTTAAAGGTTGTAAAGGAAAATGTGCTTCATTCAGTTGTTGCAAACCCCCACTTCTGTCATTCAGCGGAGGCGCACGTAAAAACATGCATAGAAGAAGATAATATCAATATAGGAAAGTTCAAATTAACTGCCGAAAATTTTGCAACATTGGGTCCCAATGAATGGCTCGACGATATGGTCGTAAATACTTTTCTGTTTTTTACAATCAAGAAATCCATTTATCCCCAGTAATTTTGTTAAATTACTTGCTCTTGATTCACTGTTTTTTGCAGCTCTAGAAATTCACGGTCCTGGGAGTGAGACCATGCTTCAGAGACGAGTAAACCTCCGCCTCCTAAAGT